GAGGATTAGTGGGAGTGGGAGGGGAATAAGCTAAGGCAACAAAGGGGTAATCAAAATACATTATGCACATGTATGAAAATGTCATAATGAAACCCATTATCCATAATTAATCTATTCTAATAGAAGCATTTTTTAAAAAAAAAGAACATCCAGAGGTTACCTGCCCACTTCTAGGGTCACCACTGCCAGTAAACCTGTTCCCTCATGGCCCCCTGGAGGGCATGTTTCATGCCAGTACCAAAAGATGCTAAGGCTGTTCTCAGATCCTGACACAGGGCAGGACACAGGCAGGGCATAGGAGCACCAATCCTAGTCCAGCCTTACTTCCACTGCTCAGCCACCCTGTTCTGGTCATTTCACATTGCTGGGCTCCAGCTGCTTGGTGCCATGATTTCTCTCCACTGCCTTATCTCTGTCCTCTACCCCCCACTGCCTATGATAGCCAAATTGTTTCAGGGGAAAAAAAGAACTCAGGGTTCTTTGAGCTAGTGGAGAGACCACATAAATGCAGGCATTATTAGCATCATTACCATTAAATATTAATAATTACATTAGCATTGTCTATTATGAGCCTGAAAAAGAAGCTCCAAGAGCCCAGGGTCAAAATGGCAAAGAGAATAATTAGGCCCCTCTGGGCTACAGACCCCTCCAGGCCCTTAAGTGAAATTAGGAAGGCAAATGAAGGAAGGCATGGGGTATGGAGAGTTCCCTTCTGGGTCCCTGCTCAGATCAACCTGACTCCTCTTGGCACTACCCACAGACACCTGCTCCCCACATGGGCCCCCAAGTCCTGGCCCTTGCCACCCCCGTGCCTATGCCAGCAAAGCATTCCCCATCTCTTTTCCATCTATCCAGTCCAGTCCAGGACTCTTCTACATCCCACTGAAGCCTTTACCGGCTTCTGCCTCCTTCCTCCCCACCCTCTGACAGGTGCCCCACCCACTGTCTACCATTCACCTAGTCAGCAATGTTTACTGGGTTTCTGCCATGGACCAGGCACTGTGCTAAGCAGGAGGATGAGGCCGGATGAAACAACCTCTCTCCAGACACTGTAGGGTCAAGAGAACAGTAACATGTATTTTATACAGCACCTGACAATTCATGAAGTACTTCTGGGTTTTTGGTTCTTCTGAGACAGGGTCTCCCTGTTGCACCACATGACCTGGAACTCGCTATGTAGACCAAGCTGACCCTGAACTCACAGAGATCCACCTGTTTCTGCCTCCTGAATGCCACGATTAAAGGCATGCACCACCACGCCCAACAGGAAGTATTTTTAAAAATTATTGTTTAGAGCCGGGAGTGGTGGCACACGCTTTAATCCCAGCACTCGGGAGGCAGAAGCAGGCAGATCCCTGTGAGTTCAAGGCCAGCCTGGTCTACATAGTGAGTTCTAGGACAGCTGGAGCTACAGGGAGACCCTGTCTCAAAAAGACAAACAAACAAAAAATTACTGTTTAGACCACATGGCCACATTACAATCCTAAACAGGAATAAAATAATTCCCATTTTACTGACAAAGAATGGATTACAGAGCTGGAAGCTAGGAATGTACTTTAGTTGGTAGAGTGCTTCCCTAGTCTTCAGGAAGTCCTAAGTTCCATCCCCAGCACTGAATAAAACCAGGTGTGGTAGTGAACACCTTGTCTCAGCACTAGGGAAGTAGAGGCAGGAGAATCCAAATTTCAAGATAGTCTTAGTCCACATAACAAGTTTGGGGCTAGGCTGGACTATTTGGAGACTCAGTGGTGTTATTTAAAGAAGAATGGACTCTTGGAAGAATCAAGTGTTACTCAGTGGCTTGCCCAGTGTCATCCAGGTAGGTGCTGCTGAGCTGGATCAGAATCTGTTCTCTTGACAGCAGATCCAGAGCTACCCTATTTGTTGCAGCCAAGAGAGGGAAAAGCAAGCCTTTTAGCCACAGCCAGGCAAGCTGCAATGATCAAGGGATGTGCCTACTATGTTAGGTCTTTCACATGCATGGTCAACTCTGATTCCAGCTCTGTGAACGTAGGTGCTGATCTTTATTTTCGAATAAGGACTGAGGTGACTTGTCCACGGTCGTGCTGCTGCTTGGAAGCAGAATGGAGTGCCGAGCTGGTCTAGCTTCAGAGTTTTGCTGCTACATTGCTTTTCCCTGAACCTGTGGATAGACAATCACACACTGCAACAGACTGCTTCTGAAAAGATTAAGAGTACTTGAAGACAGGCCAGATTTTCTGGTTCTTGAGTCCCCATCATTCTAAAGAGAGGTGCTACTGTATGAATGCATGAAATTGTGGGAGCTCCAGAAAAGAGTGCAGTATCCAAACCAGAGGCAGCTATGCTGGTGGCTTAGCAAAGCCAGGAGAGGAGATAAGGAAATGAGGGCTGGTGAAGAAAGACATCACAAAGCCACCAGTGCCCACAGGCCACCACAAGGTCTCTCATCATCCTCACTTGTCCCCTGTAACTGGGTCCGAGACCCTTGTGAACCAATGGAGGTCCTCTGGACTCCAGTGCTATTGATCTGGTGAGGCTAAGGCAGACAAAAGCAGATGGCCTAGGAAGGGTTGAGTGGTCCTCAGAATACTTCCTGAGCCTCCCCTGGGACACCAAATATTTACAGTCAAAACAGTGACCCATTTGATTAGCTACTTGGATATCTTCTGCTGGCCCTTCTTGGCTCCATTTGGGAGGCTGTGGAAGCTCAATTTGGAGGTCAGGTGCTCTGGGCAACTCAGAGTTGAACTGAATCTCCATAGAAAGGGGAGTTGCCCCTGATGGTCAGCCACATGCGATTCCAGGCTCTGATAGGCACCCATAACAGGAAACCATTCCCATATAAAAAAGGACAGTAGGCAGTTGGTGTCCACAGCAAAGGGTTAAGCAAGGAGCCTTGAGTCAGCTCCCTTGTCCTGCCCTGATATTTTACCTGCCTACTGCTAGCATCAGGTGAGGAATAAGGAGGAGAAAGAGGAGGAGAACCATGCGTACCTGCCAGGTGAACCACCTGACTTGGGTAAAGCTCTTAGCACAACTTCTGGCCTTTTGGAGACATTTGATACAGACAGCACTTCTGCTATTATCAAACTAATGGAGCCCTGTGACAAGGCTCTGCCTGGACCCCCACATTCCTTCCTCATATACTCCTTAGAACAGAAGCATGCCATTCTGAGGACAACTGAAGATCTCTGATGCAAAAAAAAAAGGAGAAAAAAAAAACAACTTCATCTGGATCAAGCTCAATGGAGCACTCCATACAAATGAGAAGACAAATTTGGCAGCTATCTTTCTGAGGTCCTGGTTTGGTAAACATTCTTATTTCCACTCTGCCTATCAAAATCCACCTGGGGTGGGGCACACTAGCTACATAGGGATCTGACAGCGACTTTGAGAACAAATTTGCTGACACTAATAACCCTCCCCAGGAACTTGGTCCCCACCACAAGGGCAGAAGTCATCCGAAAACAGAGTCACTAAGACAGCTGTCTTGGTCTAAGACAATCCTTGCAAACAGTTCCAGACCCCTGGCTTATCCACTCACAGCAGCAAACATGTCTGGCTTGGCGAGGACCTGCCCCTGCTGTCTTCTGGCAAGACCTTGCAGAGCCTCTGGACAGAGTAAGGCTGACTTGAAAGGTGTCACCAGGTACAGCTTGCCTTGGGAGCTCATGGGCAGTATGCCTACCACAAAGAGATAGAAAAGGACCATGAGAGCAGGGGCAAGATATTCGGCTTGGGGGGAGGTTGTTGATATGCAGTTATCGCCAGTGAAGCACAAAGAAGGTGAACTCTGGAAGAGGTGAACTCTGGAAGGGACACTGAAAGAAAGGAGGGACTGGTCTCTGACAAGCATTTGGGTCCCGCTCCTCTTCTTTTTCAAACCCTTCACACCTGCCCAGGACTCCAGACACTGGTCATTCGGGAAGACACAGCAGAGCCATGCTCATGTTTGACAGGTATAGCATTTAAAATTGAGGCTGGCTGGCCCTGCCAGCTGTTGCAGCATCTGGGCCACACACCAGTTTTGCCCTGGACAGCAGGCAGATCAGAGGGGGGTGAGACAACAGTGACAGTCTGACAAGGATGACTGCTGCTGCAGATGGCTAGTCCCTTTGCCTGGAAGCCCTAGACTTCCTGGGCTTCCTGTGACAGGGCAGGGCAGGAGAGGCATACCACTGCCCAGGGTGAGCACCTCCAATCTCAGAGCTTGCAGAGACCTTGGCCATCTTAAACCCTTCTAGATTACCAATAAGGCTGAAAGAAGTCAAGGCACTTAACTAAATACACACAGCCAGTCAATAACAAAAGCACAGAGATCCCTTCACATCCTCAGAGCCCTAAGTCCAGTGACATCATCTTTTCATGACATCACACTGCTGATTGATTTTAAATGGGCCTGAATTCATGTGTATCCAAACTTAATTGTATAGTTAAATGTATTTTGTAAATCATGATGTATTTTGTGATGCTATTTTCATAAAATAATACTGATAACCCTTGTAGTGTACATGAAAATATAAACCTAGAGACAGGTACTCAAATTAAGGGTGGCGGTTATGGACTTTCGCTAAGAGAATAAATTTCTCTTAAGGTTTGGCTATTTTGACAAAAAGCCCAGTATTACTTCTGAGCAAAGAAAACAATGAAGAGGAACGTGATAGGGGAGGGGCAGGGGTGACAGAGTTGGTCCCTCCATCACGCTGCCCCACACGGAAAATTGGGTTTGATGTGGATCCCTTCCTCCAACAAGGGACTGGGGAAGGGAGGAAGCAAGAAGCCTGGGGCCCCTGTGGCTTCATGATTTCACGAGCAAGAGACACTTTCTTTGTTGCCTCCTCGGCGCACCTCTCCGCAGCCCCGTCAGCACTGGGCTGGGCGCGGAACTGGCCAAACATGATGGAAGCGGGGCGGGCGCTCAGGCTCGGCTCCCTGGTCCTTAAATGACAGCAAATGAGGTAAAGCCAGAAGGGTGGGGACCGCGGGGTGGGAGGGGGCAGAGGAAGCCATCTCCGGCCGAGCGTTGGCTGAGGAGTGGAGCCAGCCAGTGAGCGGAGCCTGCGAGAGGGAGGAGCGCATCTTGATGCAGAGATGCTGCAGTGGCTCGGGGCGCGCACACATATACTCACCCTCACCCGCCGTGCCAGGACAGCCAGGGGCTGAGGCCGACCGGGCGGAGGAGCTCAGAGGCTGGCGGCAGGGCCCTCTTACCCGCTGCAGCAGTGTCCAGCTAACATCCTTCCTGCACTCCAGGTAAGTGCCAACCGCTTTTGTCTTATCCAGTCCGGCGGCCTCCCAGAGTGCTGTTCTGGTAGGGGCTCAGTCCTTGCGAATGTCTCCCTTGAAACTTGGGAGCAGGCAGGGACCTTCTCACCCAAGCGCACAGTGGCCACCCGTCAGGCTCTTCCTCATCCTGTCTACGTGGGTAGCATTCTGCAGGGCCTGGCTTACCGGCTCTGGAAGCTAGTCCCCAGGAGTGTCTAGAAATCTGATCTGGCACTCCTAGGCCATAGCCAGTACCAGGCTACTCTGTAAGGCCAGGCTCTGGCCTCCCCCTGGAAGACCCTGGGTGGAACTGAGCCTGAGTTCTCAGATTTAGGGTCACCTGAGGGCTGCTTCTGCTGGGTGGCCTCTTTGAAAAAGCTTGCTGAACAGTGAGGGAGGTTGTGGAAGAGAAGAGAGAGGAGAGCACAAGTTTGGCAAAGGTTGTCCAGGAGCTAGCATTGGGGAGAAGAGAAACTGAGGCAGGTCCCATGCCAAGGGTGAGGTAGAAGGCCCAGGCTGCAGTTCCTTTCCCCTCCTCCCTCCTCAACCTTGTCTTCTCCTCAGATCCCTCCCCTTCAATCTCACTGATGGGAGGGCAGAATTTGTTCAAAGTTTGGCTTTCCAGGGGATTCTAGACAGAGGTGCAACCCCTCTGCCCAGCCTTATGGCTTATGTAATGGACTGGGGAGGGAAGCAGCTTCAGCCAAGGGGAGTCCAGAGCTGCAGCCCTGGTGCCAGGGCTCGGGAGAAAGAGGCTAAGATGAGGCAGTGCCTATGGAAGAGTCTTGGGCTGCTCAGGCAGTCTGCACCCTGCAGCCTGGGGTAGGGGTTTTGGTGAGGGGCTGAGCTTTTCCCCTGCCTCCAAAGAAAAGCTGCCAAAGTTGTTAGGACATGTGGTAACTATTGTGACCATCCGGGAGTAGCTGTGCATGCTATGACAGGCCTGGACAAGAGAGGGTTTAATCAATGGCTCCTTCTGCCTAGGAGGCAGGAACTGTCCATACACTGGTCCTGAGCAGCAGCTGTTTAAAGCGGCTCTCCCAAGCCTCTGGTCAGATGCCACCATCCACTTAGCCTCTGATGCTTTCTGCTGCCTGTCCCATGTCCTACTCTAAGGGACTCTGGTAGACAGTAAGAGCAGTAAGAGTAGGCTTGCGGGTGAGGAGTGTAGCTGACACTCCAGAGGTGGGGCTGGGAAATGGCTGGAGGTCAAAACAGGTGCCCTGTTTCCTGGCTTCTGGACGAAGAGGTTCTGGTTCAGTCAGGGGCATTCGGCTCCTCCCAAGGGGCCCCAAGCTAACTTCAGAGAGCCGGGCTCTGGAAGAACCGCTGAGTACTTCCTCCACAGGTCTAAGTTCTTTTTACTGTCCCTATGGGAATCTTCAACCAGAGGCAGACAGGAGGTAAGACAGATAGGAGATGAGACAGTCAGATTGGAGGCTCCTGAGCTTATGGCATCTAAGGCACTCAAGGTCCACTTGCCCCCTGGAAACACTGCCCTTGTCCTCTCAAGTGTGAGGAGTATGGATCAGAGGTAGGCTGCCCAGGGGTATGGATGGGGCTGCTGGACAGACTATGTCCACAGGATAGTTGTGTGTCCTGCTCCACAGGATAGCTGTGTATCTTGCCTTGTACAGACATTTGCTGGCTCCTCAAGAGTGCACACACAAAAGGGTGAACCCAAGCCTGCTTCTTACTATCAGTTGGACATCTGGGGTGACTTGAAGAGTACAAGGTCCCTCTGCCAGAAGCTTCCTCAGGTCAAATGATGATGAGAAAGCATGTTTCAAAGCTGATCTCTAAGTATGGATATGGATGGTATTTGTGTTTTTAGAGGGACTTCTATAGCCAAAGGGAGGCAGGAGGGGTTCAGGGAAGAAGTGACTTATCAACACAGGGAGGGATCAGAGCAAAGAATGTGCCACTGAAGCATGACGTGTTAGGAATTAGGAGTTTTAACTCTCTCCAGGGTTAGAACACTCTCCTGGGGTTTGGCATCAAAATGTTAGGAATTAGAAGGGACTTAGATGAGCAGAAGATACTTGTAAGCAGAAAGCTGAGCCACAGGACAACCTCCTGCAACATGACTCTATCAATGGCTACAGAACTGGGGTCAGTGTTGGGTCCAAGTTTTGCTTTTTTATTTTTTTTGTTTTGTTTCTTGAGACAAGGCTGGCTTGGAACTCGCTATGTAGACCAGGTTGGCCTCAATCTAATAGAGATCTGCCTGCTTCTGCCTCCTAAGTGCAGGGAGTAAAGGTGTGCCTATACATAGCACCAAGGTTTGAGATAGTCATTCCTAGAAGTTGGACTGGCTCTCTAGTACATTTATTCTAGCCTTAGACAATCTTCTTTCAAATGGTAAATAGGGGCATCTTTTATACCCTCCCCACAGTCTTGCTTTTCTTCTCTTTCAAGAGGACCACTGACTGCCCTCATCTAGACCAAACCCCAGGGACTGTTACTAACCTGGAGCATTACTGGGGTTGATTCCACCATCCTGGAGGAAAGAGTTCCTCTGGGTGGTTTAATAAGTCCTTGCTACAAAATGAACCTCACGTTTCTTTGTTTCCAGAAAAAAAAAAAAAAGATGCAACCAAAAGCAAAAGTGTATAATATCCTTACCCGAAACCTGAGCACCATCTATCCCAGGACACTCTCAAATACACCTCAACATCTTTCTCAACCATTTGGTCCCCTACTTAACTGCAGAAACCAGTCACTCCCTGCTTACAGCACCCATCCAGATGAAACTGCGGAGTCTTCTCCAGAGGGAGCCTACATCCTCTCAATGTCTGCCAACTCCCAAGACTTTGAGGTCCCACCTGCATTTAGCAAGAGAGTGCCTTTCTGCTATATAGCTGCCCTTCCCCAGCCTGCAGGAAACTGTCTGAGAGCTGGGGGAACCTTCCAGCAGAGCAAGTAGGCATATAAAAACTCTGCTAATATCTGAGGGACTCTTCCTGAAACAAGTGGAAACAACTATTCTTATTCCTGGAGTTTTACAAAGGGATCTTTCTGAGGACTGAGGGTATAACTCAGTGGAAGAACTCGTCTTGTATATGTGAGGCTCTGAAGTTGATCCCCAGCCCTGCAAAAAATGGGAGGATCCTTCTTTCAAGGCTCTCACTTGTTACCCCACACCACACATAGAGAAGGGCTAGCAGGTGGGAAAACTGAAGGTCTAGGATGGCTGGTTCCTAGTCACACACTAAGAAAACCTTCATCCCTCCTCTTTGGTCCACTCCTCACTCTTCTATGGCTGCAGACCAAGGGCCAGACTCCTCCATGCAGTGCTGAAGTCACAGTGTCCCCTAAGGACTTACCAGCACCTGTGATGAGGCTTCAGGAACCAGCTTCAAACACAGAGACAAGCCAATGAGGAAACAGGCCAAGGGAGCATAGAGAGACTAAGAAATTTCTCCATCCTTCATTTGGGGCTGAGGGTCCACATCCACATCCACCCTAAGCACCTCTCCAGATCAGGCCCTTCCCCACCCCCATTGCTGCCTGGCCCAGCATGCTGAGCACCCCAGCCTCCACACCCTTCCCAGAGCCCTATCCTCCCAGTCAGCTGTGGGGTGATTGACAATCTCTGGGTTTCAGAGGTGCTACCAGGTGGCAATCCCCATCCTAGGCAGAGGACAGGTGCTGAACTCCATCTCCCTCCACCCCTGACGCGGGAGATGTGTATATGAGAGTCCCTGAGAGAGCCATGGGCACACTGAGGCCGTGTTGTCCCCTAAATTGGGTACAAGTCTGCCATTGGGGTGTCCCTGTGCCCTAGTCTAGAGCAACTGCTGGGGTTTACCTAGTATCACTGCACCTGTGGGATGCAAGAAAAAGGCCTGCCTGGAAGACGGCACATGTGTCCTTGTCCTTAGCACTTTGACAGAGTCAGCAAGTCTGACTCACACAGAAGCATTGTGTGTGGACTCATGGGGGGGGGGTATGGGAGGGGCTTAGTTACAAGATCCAATCTTTCCTATGCATTGGCAGTGGCCCAGGCATGGCTCTGACCATCATCCCCTGAGGTGACTCCTACCCTTCTTGTCCCCATTTTACAGAAGAGAAACTGAGATTCAGAGACTGAGGCAGAAACTCAGGTTGTACTAGTTAGGGATGCTCAATAACCTACCCTATAACTCCTGAGCCATGCTAAAGGACAGAGGCTGAGGTGAGGACATGAGGGGCTCCTGCAGTAACTTAAAGGCTGACACTCAATCCAACTCTGTTCTTTACTATGTTGCAAACCCCTCCCTTCCCACCACTCTGCATGCAGTACTGCCATGTCCTTCAATTATCCTTTGGGACCAGAGCTGAGCATCCCAGGAGGCAGCAAAATGCCTGCTGGGCTATGTACCTTTAGTTTTTAACTGGCTCCATGTGAATATCCTTAGCCAGGAAACCCTATTGTGTGCTGAATTCTAGCTCATAGTCTGCTCTCTTCCAGCTGTCCCCCAGACCCTTTGTTTCCTGGGCTGGGAACTTCAGCCAGCTACTCTGTGTCCCTGAGCCTCTGATGGCCTATACCCCATGTGCTAGTCCTTCATAGGACCAGCCCCTAATGGTACCAGCCTGTGGCAGCCTGTGCCTATACCCCTGCACCAGGGCAGCTGGCCTGGGCAAGGCTTGGCTGGCTCAGAACTGGCAGGCTCAATCTGGCATAGCTCCACTCCAGCCTCACTACTGACAAAATAGCTTTCACCATCCTGGGCATTCTATAATGTGTCATAGGGCAGACAGTGTGAGATGACTGGTCTCTGAACTTGAAAGCATAGCTCATAGCTACTCTCAGCTGATCAGGGAACACCAGAAAGGGAGTATCTCTGTTAGTGTCTCCCTGTGCTCAGCAGTAATCACTGAACACTATAATGGGGCTGGGTGTGGTATCACATTTCTGTGATTCCAGCATTTGAGGGGCTGCTGCAGGAGGATTGTGGGTTTGAGACACAGACCTCGTCTCTAAATATAGTATACACAAATAAGCACAGTAATAGAAATGAGTGCAAGGCATGGCTGGCTGCTGGCTGCCTCACCTTCATAGAAGCAGCAAGCCCCAACCACTCACCCAGACCTGCACGTTTGTTCATGTTAGTTTACCCAGGGGAGTGGAGCTCAACCTACATCTGATCACAGTGAAACCCAACATCCTCCTGATTCCACACACATCTACCCTAAGGTTGCCAGACTACAGGGCTTGGTCCCTCAAGGGCCTGGATAAAAGCCTGGATTAAACTAAAGTTTAAGATGAGTGATGGGATTAAATTGTCTACAATCTACAGTCAACACCAGAAAGACAATACAAAATCCTGACCACTCCAGAGTGGAGGTGACCACTGTGATTTCCACCTCTGTCCAAGCCCCTTGTCCCTACATTGAGCTTCCAGGACTGGGACAAAGGGCAGGAGAGAATGACAAGCAACTTCTCGGTTCCCAGAGAAGCTCCCTAACAAGCTCCCTAACAAGGGAACCTCCTGGGAAAGTCCAGGAGATGAGGTGGATAGAGTGGGGAGGGGTCTGGAGTCATCTGCTCCCCTCTGTCTCCATTGTGGCAGAATACAGGTCCATATGACCTGGAGATTAACAGCTGCTTGAAAAACACCCCAGGGGATCCTGGTACATCATGTTACCACAGAGCCACTCTGTGATGCCCACACAATTCCCATTTTGCCCATGAGAAGACTGAAGCTCCACCAGGGGGAAAAACTTGCTTAAGACCACGGAGCTGTAAAGCTCAGCAGTTAAGAGTGTGCACTGCCTTTGCAGAGGACCTGAGTTAGGTTCCCAGTATTCATGTTGAGTATCTCATAACCATCTGTAACTCCAGCTCCAGGAGAGCCAATGCCCTTTTTCACCATCCACAGCCTCTGCACTCACATGCACATACCCACTTACACCACAAGTACACATAATTAAAAATAAAATCAGAGCCAGGTATGGTGGTACACTTCTTTAATCCAGCACTTGGGAGGCAGAGGCAGGCAGATCTCTGTGAGATGGAGGCCAGCCTGGTCTACATAGAAAGTCCAGGCCAGCTAGGGAGGCTGGGCATGGTGGTGCACGCCTTTAATCCCAGCACTTGGGAGGCAGAGGCAGGTGGATCTTTGTGAGTTCGAGGCCACCCTGGTTTACATAGTGAGTTCCAGGACACCTGGGGCTATAAGGAGACCCTGTCTCAAAGAGACCAAAATAAATAATAAATAAATAAATAAATAAATAAATGAAATATTTTTTAAAAGACAGAGAGGGAGAGATGAAGTTAGTATTACCAACTCTTATCTATCAGATTCTTAATCCTGGGGGGCTTCAAACTGTGCCAGCACCTCCCTATGTTAAAGATAACGCCATGCATTTGTGTGGTATCCAGAGGTGTATTTGTGAGATTTCCTGGGACAAGATGCCCTGTTTATCCCAAAGACCTCCATGTGTGGGAGTACATGTATACCATTTTCCCTGGGCTGCTCCACAGAGGACTGAAACCCTGTCAATCTAGTCAGGCTTATGCTGGGCCCCATTGTGAGGGAATGTATATGAACACACATGTGTGCGCATGTGCATGTGTGTCCACTGGCTCCCACAATGATTCTCAATCAGTTGAATGCAAAACACAAGTAACATCTATTATGTGCCAGATACTTTGAGGGCCAGGTACTCTCAAGATGGACAGTTCTCAGTCTCTCCTCTTTGGGGACACTTTTTCATCAGAGACAAACAGCTTCTCAGGCAGGAGCTTCTGATGACCAAGGGTGTCATCAAGAGCAGAGAAGAATTCTATATTCAGACTGGAGCATCTTGGGTACTAGCAGGCAGGTGAAGTGTGAACAGTAACCTGCAGCATGAGGACACCTTACTTCAGCAGGGTGCTACAGGGAAAAGAAGATGGGTGTTCTAGGGGTTAGGGGTGCCAGGGAAATGCCAAGTATTTGGACTCGAGTTTAGAACTAAGAGTATCAAGGATGAGGGGAAGGAAGTTGGGGTCTGGCACCTAGGTACACTACCTGACAAGAGGAGTCCAGTATAAGCCTGGGATCACATGGGGAGTGATTACCTCTGCTCTAGCCCCCACATCCTGCTTCTTAACTCTGCCCAGGATCCTTGCCACATCCCCCTGCCAGGCCCTAGCTCTTCCCTTGTCTTCAGGCTGCTGGAGGTAGGAAAGGTAGGGGGAGCCCAGGTGAGGGATGGCTGGAGAGCTCTTTCTATGGAGTGGAGTGGGAGGTGATGCATCCTGAGTCGCAGCCTTCCTTTCCTGCCCATAGGGCAGGGGTCCTAGCCCTGTCTTTTTCTGGGTGTATCAGAGTGCCAAAGTTGAAGGACATGAAAGAGCAATTCCACACAGGACACAGATGCAGACAGCAGGGCTCCACAGACAGTTAGTGGGAAAGCCTGCCTGCCGGCCCCTGCCTCACCCTGAGTCACCTGTGGGCAGGCAGGGAGGGCTGGTAGAATCTGCAGCCTGGTGCTCTGGCCCTGTGGCAGCTCCAAGGTGCCATAGGCTCCGGTTACCAAGCATATCCCAATACCTGGAGGGCAGCCCCTGAAAGAATCCCCTAGAACTCAGGAAGCCTTTCAGGGGAGGAATAGATGGGAGGGTGACCCTGTCCCTCAAAATGAGGTCCCTGTCTCTCAGGACACTGCTCTGTTCTTTGTGCCCTGCCTGGGCTGATTACTGAATCTCTACCATCCCAGTGTAAGAAAGCAGCTTCTCTGGGAGTTGCATTAAGGCTTGCAGCACAGAAGGTCGCTGAGCCCTTTAAAGTGGTGAGAGTGTGGCTAATGGGACCAAGGTCATGACTCCATGCAACACAGCTAGGTGCCTTACTTGGGCACTCTGACTTGGGTATGGATGAGTCATGAAGTTTCTCTCACTGTGAGAAAAACAGGGCTGCTCTGGAGCGCATTTAGCTACTGAGAGGCCTAGTGGCCCCCACCCAGGCAGCTGTAGGAGAGGGGGAGAGGAAACTTGCCCTGATCCCCAGGTATCAGAAGAAGATATCACTGGCTTTCCCAGGTATGGGCCCTGCTCTCCAGGCCCCTCCCTACATGGCAGGATCATGAGGGCAGACAAGGAGGCAGGCAGGTGGGTTCTTGCCTCCCAATTAGTGCTGCTTTCTCTTCCTGAGCGGCACCTGCTGGCAAGTGGGAGGGGTGCCAGGCAGAACCAGATTCCCTGGGGGCTGCAGGAGGTACTCAGCCCTGGAAGAGCTCCTTGATAATAGCCAAGCCCCTCCCTGGGACCTGGGGAAGATGTGTGCTTCTCAGCAGCCCAGGCAAGAAAGTAAGGCACTAGCCAGATGTTTTGCAGCTGGGATCCATTCAGAGTCCTCCTCCTCTGTCTCCTTAGGTGTCTTTCAGTTTCCAGTCAACTCTCCTGGAGCTGGGTTTAGGCTCCCCTCCTCTGAGCCCTGCCTGGGACACCCACCATGAGGACACCTACCAGGAAAAAACCATGCCTGTTGCTGCTGGCCATTGTGGCCCTGGTGTCCTCTCCAGGTAAGAGCATCTATTATAGTTTAAATCATTACTACCACTTAGGTGACAGTTACACAAATGACTGGCTCTGTATTACTGAGGCCATTTCCTTGCTAAACTTTTCCCATTTGTGGATCTTACCTTACCTTTGAGGTTGGGAGAAGAGGAAATGAATCTTTATCTTGTTGTGCACACTTGTACACAATGGAAAAATGACCCAGAGAGGTGGAGTGGCTTACCCTGTCACACAGCATGAGGTGGCACAACTAGATCTCCACTGAATCCATTAGAACTGCAGCCCCTAGAACTGTGGTCAGCACCGCCCTGTACATTCCTGAGCTAACATGTGATCCAGATGAAAATGATGTCCCCAGCTGTTCTTGCCATGTGTCCAGTGCTCAGTAGTCACCTTGGACAGCACAGGTCATGAGACACTGCCATCATATTTAGAAAGTTCTAGAGAGGGATCCAGGATCTTGGACACAAAGGGGATAGTAGCTACCTCACAGAATTCTGGGAGGCTCCTTGAGACAACCTGGCAGGAAAGGGGCAGAAAGAGACCATACTAGGCAGGGGAGCCCATAAGGTTCTTGTCCCCGTGCTTCAGCTTGGAGGTGGGAGGCAGTGAAAGGAGAGAACAGGGCTGGAGAGCTCCTGGAGCTGAGGGGACAGCTGGCCATGCTTGGTTCTGCCTAACTCCCAACCCAAGTCAATAGAAGTTTCTATTCTTCAAAGAGCTCCAAGGGAGAAGGAGCACATACCTGCAGTCCTGGAGTTCAGACCCTCCCTCTCACCCACAGCCTCTAGGCTCAGCCATGGCCTCTAGACTCAGCTCTACCGTCTAGATTCAGCCATGCCCTCTAGGCTCAGCCATGCTTCCTCACATCTCACCTCTGCAGTTCTGTCTCCCTCTTCAAGGTCTCTGATGCCTGGTCTGGGAAAAAGAGCTACTAGAGCAGGGGATTCAGGAGTGTTTGAGGCCATGTGGGACAGGGACAAAGGAAGGGCTGCCTTTGCCCAGGAATGTGTATGTGTATGCTCACATGCAGGAAGGGGATAAAGATGTGTCTAGCTATGGGGTGTGGAGGCTGTATGAGGATGTCTGTGGAGCTTCAGGATAGAGGTGTGATTCAGGTGTGGCCTCTATCTAGATGCCCTCTACCCAGGCCCCTACAGATTCCTGGGATTCACAACCTCCCCCAAAGAACTTCTGATTTCAGGCCTATAGTGGCCACTGTGATCAGAAATGCTGGCTGCAGGCAAGGCTGGGTGAGGACAGATTTGCTTCTTGTTGTGAGGTGGGGCAAATTATAAACTTATCCAAGTCTTAAATTCCATGTTGGTAAGATAAGAAAGCATAACTCTTTGCTTCTTCAGAGCCTTATAAGAAATAGATATCAGAGGACAGTAAGCAATTTGACCGATAACACCTATTCTTATCACGATATAATTGTCAGTGAATACATCTACTTATGAATACATGCATTTATAATGAGCAGAAAGGGCTATTTGCAGCTGTTCCTGTATGGGACAGATGGATGTAAAGATGTGTATCTGGCCATTGGAGTGGCTTAGAGAGGCATATGTATGTGAATATGTGTACAATATGAGAGACAGTAAGGACATGTGAGATGAGACACGGAAGTGTGTACATGTGCATATTGGAGTGAGAGTGAAGGTGTGCACACGGCTGAGTGCAGAGGAGAAAGCTCTTTCAAGAAGAAAGACAGTCTTAAAGTACCAGCATATCCCAGGCCCCGCTACCATCCAGACTGGGTCCCTGCTATCGTACAAGGTGGTTCCCATCAGCCCCACTGCCTCCGCATCCCTCCTCCTCCCTTCTCTCTTCTCCCTCTTCTTTTCCCTTCCCCCTCCAGGTAGCCCCAGCTGGGGCTGGAAGTCCCTATCCTCCACCATCATCATTAACTCGGGATTAAGCTGGGCTTTCCAGCGGAGATGATGCAGTAGCTGTGCAGTCACCTCCCCTCCTCTGAGGCCCCAGGCAGCAGTGAAGGAGAGTGACAAGTGAAGGGGGGTGGCACAAAAGAAGCCTTCACCAGGTCATTCTGGGAGTTCTGCCTCCTTCCTCATTCAGATAGCTGCTTAACAGCTGCCCCCATTCCCAAGAGGCCAGAGATGAGCCTCAGCTGTAGCAGAGGGACCACCCTTGGAAGAGGGCTGGCAGCTGGATGCCCCTAGAAAGGAGGCACTAATTGGCTAATGGAGCCCCCCCCCCTTATGGCCCAACAAGGAAGGCTTGAAGTGGACTGCATGAGAGGTAGGAGCCAATTAGGGGGCCTGGCTCCCACCTGACCCCACAGTGGTAAAGCCCCCACAATGCTAAGGCAATGTGAAATACTTTCCAGTTTTCTCCCTGATGGCGAGGGAGGACAACGGTGCTTGAAGCCTGGCTGGGACAGGGCTAGATAGAAACTCCTACCTGTGTGACGCCTGTTTGCCAAGCAGCATCACCTGCCTGACAGATTGGCCATGCAACCATGACCTCTTTTTCTGGAGTTGTGACACAGCTCATAAAACTGTGCCTTTCTTATACCTCCACCCCTGCCCCTAACTGGGTCCAGCAGTCAGTTGCTGAACTTGCCCCCTCACCAGGCCCATTCAGTGCTCTGACTGAATCCTGTCATGGACCTGGGAGGTATAATTCCTACTCTTTCCTTTTCATAGGATGACTCCGGAAGTGAGACTCCAACATCTCCTAGGCAAGATCCAGATTTTAAGGGTTTTAGTGGTTTCCTTTCCCCTAATTTTAGATTGGTCAACTTAAAAAAAAGAAGAAAAGGCTGATAGGTTTATGGCTCCAAATGAAGAGGTGTCCAGGTCTGGCCTTGGTTTTATCTGAACTGCTCTGGACTAGCTGGAGGAAAGGGAACTTTTCTCCCTTTTTTTAATCTGTTCCTGCTAGATAGAAGGGGAGCCCTCAGGCCTTTCACAAGAAGAAGCAGGAAGTATGCTATCTTTATTACTCCTCAGTGACCCTCTTTGTTTATTAGTGATTTAGTCCCTTATAAACCTCAGAGGGGCCTAAACTTGCTCGAGGTCACACAGTTGGTTGGAGGCCCAGCCTAGCCCCCAACCAAGCACTTCTAGGCCACACTGCCCTAGAAGAGCACTACTCCAGAAATACAGGCCCTTTGTCCTGTTTCCTGCTGGTGATTTCTCAAGCATCAGAACTGCAGGTCAGCTCCTATGTGAGGCTCACAAGAGTCTCCCAGGGCTGCAGTAACTGCTCCATTTGAGGAGGGTGAAGGTATGCACATGGCTGAGTGCAGAGGAGAAAGCTCTTTCAAGAAGAAAGACGATCCTAAAGTACCAGCATCCAGTATCCTGTTCCTAAACTACTGTGACATGGCACCCTTGCATGGTCAGCTTTCTGTTTCCTTCCCTAATTGCCAGATTCTTCAAGGAAAGGGAGTATGGGTCTGATTCATTTTCATAGTCCAGTGCCAGGTATACAGAAAGTGCTTAATATGTGACTGCAGGGTGAGTGACTGATGGTGCTAACTTAATTAAATTAATTAAAATTAAATTTAAAATTTGGTTCCCTAGCCACATTCCAAGTTCTTAATAGCCACCAGTGACCCACGGCCACTTACTGGACAGTGAAGAAAATGGGCAAGTTTATGCTGAATAGCATGCCCTTGAGGCTGGGCTTCAATTGGCTCAAGTCCTGAGGCTCTGGTGGTATCCCCTGTTTGCAGGATGGAGTTCTGCCCTGGGATCCCCAGCTACCTTTGGGCCTGTCTTTGAAGACCAGCCTGTTGGCCTGCTATTCCCAGAGGAGTCCACAGAGGAGCAGGTGACGCTAGCGTGTCGTGCCCGGGCCAGTCCTCCAGCCAACTATAGGTGAATCCTCAACCTTGGGTGCTGGGAGGCCCTGGGAAGCCATACATCAGCCCTACCCAGTCAGGTCTGAGGTCCCATCCCTACCATGCCCCTCCTTCCTACTGCAGGTGGAAGATGAATGGCACTGAGATGAAGCTGGAACCTGGTTCCCGTCACCAGCTGATGGGAGGAAATCTGGTCATCATGAGCCCTACCAAAGCACAGGATGCCGGTGTCTACCAGTGCCTGGCCTCAAACCCAGTGGGCACCGTTGTCAGCAGGGAGGCTGTCCTCCGCTTTGGCTGTGAGACCCAGGGGAGCCAAGACATGGGGTATGGGTAGATGGGGCCAGGAAAAGGTGCCCAGAAAGGACAGGTGGTAACCTCAAGTCAGGCTTTCCTTCCCACAAATGACATGCTAAGTAACTGCTTCTGCCCCATGGAAGAGGAGCTGGGGAGGCCCAGGCTTGAGAGGAAAGTGCCTGAGCCCTGCTCTCCATCCCCAGTTCTACAGGAATTCTCCAAGGAGGAGCGAGACCCAGTGAAAACCCATGAGGGTTGGGGGGTGATGTTGCCCTGTAACCCACCTGCCCACTACCCAGGTAAGTGGGGGCCTTGGGCCAGGGCTAGGTTGGGGAGAGGGTTTATAGAAAAGAGCTTTAAATGCTCAGGAGAGGAAGAATAGAATAGGAGGTAGTAAGTCTGATTTTCAATGAATGTCATTCCTAGCTGTACCTGAGGGTGTGTCCCCAGTATCTAGCACCCTGAGACTAGAACTGAAGTCATCTCCTTCTAGATGTCTCCTCAGCCCCAGTTCAGAGCTACAAGCTCACATAAGAGAATGCCTACCAGCATGTTGGGGTCCTGCCCAGATTGTGTATGAACCCAGTGTTCCCTGGTTTCCTCAAACTCCCCACTACATCCTAGGTTTGTCCTACCGCTGGCTCCTCAATGAGTTCCCCAACTTCATCCCAACGGATGGACGTCACTTCGTGTCCCAGACCACAGGAAACCTATATATCGCCCGGACCAATGCCTCAGACCTGGGCAACTACTCTTGTCTGGCCACCAGCCACATGGATTTCTCTACCAAGAGCGTCTTTAGCAAGTTTGCGCAGCTCAACCTAGCTGCTGAAGGTCAGGGCTGTGGGGCTATGAGGAGGGGGCTGAAAGAGTCAGCATGCACAGGAAAATGGAGTTTCCCTAAGACCAAGAAAAGCAGCTCATAAAACATGGAACTCAAGGCCTGGGCCCCAGGGTTCCTGATACCAGGCCTCAGACTCTCATTGCCCCAGGCCCCAAGGGAGCGCTTGGGGACTCCATACCACCCAGATGTGTGAGCTCTGGAAGGTACAGACCCTGAGCATGGAGTGCCTCCCTGGAATGTCCTTTGTGTATGATTGACATAACCTCTTGCTCCTCAGATCCCCGGCTCTTTGCACCCAGCATCAAAGCCCGGTTCCCCCCAGAGACCTATGCGCTGGTGGGGCAGCAGGTCACCCTGGAATGCTTTGCCTTTGGGAAGTAAGTAGCACAGACGGATGAGAGTACCCTGGGACCAGAGGCTCTCAGAGCACCCCAGGAACAGGAGAGATCCCAGGATGAGAGAAGGCAAAGTCAGAAGGCTAGCAGGATGCTGGGCATACAATGGCATCACCTACCACCCAATGGAAATCAGCTCTGTAATTGAGGGCCTTACGGGCATGGGAGATCACATGGTCCTAACAACAGTAAATGGCAGGCCCAGGAAGCTTGAGGAGCACCCAGAGCTGGAGGCAGGAAGCACACTGTGCAGGCCGGTCTGTGGGTTCAAAGCTTAGCTCCGTCATTCACTGACTGGGAAACCTTGGACGAACTACCTAATGCCTCAACCTGGACTCCCTGACTGGGAGATGGTCATGCTAACAGTGCCTGCCTTGTAGGGTTGTTACAAGGACTAGATGAGTCATTATGTACCAGACTCCAAGAACAACAGCACCTAGCATTTAGCAAGTGTAACATAAATGTTACTTTAGGTATTTCAAAATTACAACAGAAAACCTCTTTTGTGTTCTGTCAAAGAAAGGTTTCACTAGAACAGGGCTCCTTGGCCACTGCTATGTGGAATTACTGGACTTCGAAAAAAAA